ATACTGCTCCTAGGACTTTGTAGTATGTTGTTGTTGTTTTATTTTTTTAACCTCAGTTGAATGAGGAGGGGGAACTGATGTACTGAGATTTCCAAAATATACCGGATAACAAATTATTTTTGAGCAGCTTCCAAATTGGGACTCACTTTTCCCCATGCAGAGGTTCGTGTTACTGGAGCTGGCTTGCCTTCCCTTGTGAACATTGTTTTAAAGTAGATGAAATATCAAGGAATTTTGGAAGTTCTTATTTTTAGCCAGTAAAATGAAAAATTTCCACAGCATGTAAAATAAGTGCTCGAGTCGAAGCCTGCCTAGTTTGCTCCACCTAACTATGATCACATCAAAAACTTTTGCAAGGCTATTCTGGGCCTGGGGTGCGGAGATGACTCACTGAGTTTCTCCCTCGCCCCATCCCCCACCTGTTTATTCAGGTGAAATCAGATTAAAGTGAGCATCAAGGGCAGCTTTGGGAGGGAAGAGAAGCCAGAGACTCTGAGAGACCCGGAGGGATGGCCCTAGACAGAGGTGATGAGAGTCACGAGGGTGACATGCTGGCTTCTTAATTAGGGCCAGCCACAATGTACTGAGCACTCACTTCCCAGGAACAGACGAGTTTTCACAGGCCTTCCTGTGTGTTCCTGTGAAGGAGCATTTAGGGTGAGCATTTGGAATATTTTTTATGCTCTCTCTCTTTTTGGTTAATCTTCGCCCAAGGATATTTTTTTCATTGATTTTTAGAAGAGTGGAAGGGAGGGAGGGAGGGACAGAGAGAGAGGTGCGGGGTGGGGTGGGGTGGGGTTACTGATAAGTTGCCTCCCACATGAGCCCTGAACTGGGGCAGGGATCAAACCTGCATCCAGGTACCTGCTTTTGACCAGGAATTGAACCTGCAACCCTTTGGTATGAGGGACAGTGCTCTAACCACTGAGCAACCAGTCAGGACTGTGCTCTCTTTTTGACAAATGTAAAAATCTCACGCCTAGTTTTAATGTTATCTGAAATGTTAAATGAAAATATGTGAATAAAAGCAGATCAGATATGCCCCACACCTAGTTGAGAATGTCTGCTCCAGACTAAAGTGCCAGTACTGCCCCGAAAGTCCCTGGTTTTGGTCAAATCTGTATTTGAAGCCTGACCTGACCACTCATAGGCTGTGGACTTCAGGTGAGCTTCTTGCCTTCTCTCAGCTTCTATTCCCTTCTTTGAAAAGGTGATTTTGTCACCTGCCACTTGAGGCTGCTTTGCAGATTCTGTGAGGCACTTAGCACCGTTGCCAGTTACTTAAAAAACAACAACCCTGAAAACTTTAATCTGAACTATAGCCTTGGGAAGTAGGCTAACCCCTCTTGCCCCATTTTATAGATGAGAATACTGAGGCTCAGACACACAGATTAGCAAGTTACTTCACCTAATTGCAGAACAGGGGTAACTCCCGGTCTTGTGTGACTAGGCCAGGCCCCTTTCACTGTGCCAGCCCTGGCCTAGTGTGTGCATGTGAGCAATAGATATCAAGTCACCTTCTCTCCCCCTTGTCCTGGGTGATCTAGCTCACATGGCTCTCCAGGACCCCTGGATCCAATCTGCTTAGCACTCATTAAGTGAGTACTATATTCCCTCTTATGTCAACTGGGCTGTAAGCTTCACTTCAAAGAAGACCAAGTCTCTTAGTCTTTCTCAACAAGCCACTGGCCCCAGAGGTTGAATTCTGTGTGAGAGGCTTTTAATGGAGACCTTCCCTCCATAATTGCATTTTAGCTTTGTTTCACCATCCAACTTTTTAAAATCAGTGACACACACACACAGAATCTAAATAGACTTTCCTATCTGTTCCCCTCTACCCTTTAACTTTGTGCCCTTTCTCAAGTTGCTGAACCTCTCAGCCTCAGTTTCCTCACCCATGAAGTGAGGACATTACTATATGCCCTGCATGTTCTGTGGGTCCAAATGAGATGCTACATAGGAAAAGCTTTTGTAAACTTGGAGGCAGTTTTCCTCTCTGACTCCCACTTACCATCCAGCCTGAACCTGTTCCTTTCTCAAATGAGCAGGAGTACTATGTCTTCTGTTTGGAAAGTACTTCTGAGCAGCCCTCCCAGCTGCCTCAGCGGAGAGGGAACCAAATGGCCCCACACTCAGTAAAGGAAGAAGAAACTGCATCAGTGCTAAGAGTTCACTGAGTCTTTAGCACTAGTTAGATAGAACTCTGTTTATGGCTTCTAAACTACACTCATTCCAGGAGATCTAGAATCTTCTCTCTTACCAGGCTTTAGCAATGAAATCTTAGTCAAGTTACTCAATGTATCTGAGACTCAGTTTCTTCATTTAAACAATGTGGTAGTCCTTGCTTCATTGGGTTATTGTGTCAAACGAGGACACATGATGATAGGCAGTCAAAGCATGTGACTTTTTTATTTTATTTTTGTTTCCCTTCTGTTTACCCTTCAAAACCTCTGTGCCTCCTCTTGTTTTTCCATGAAATGGGGATAATAATGCCTGGCCTGTGTAGCTCACCAGGTTGTTGTGTGACTATGGAATAAAGGCTACGGTGGGGCTTTGAAATGGTGATGTGTGGTATAAATACCTGCCTGGGTTTATTCTTGAGGTGGCTGGCCTTGAACTGATGGGTGTGTTGGTCCTCGCAGGCCTGAGCTGATGTATGCAGTGGCCACATGTGGAAGGTCACTTAACATAGCTTCTCCTCCTGCTCTTCCTGAGGGCCCTGTGCTCTCACAGCTACCTGTGGAGCTGGGCAGCCTCCTCACACCTGTCACTCACTTGCCTTGCTCTCCTGTCTCTCTGTCCCTCTGTCCCTGGCTCACATGGCACAGGACCATCCATGCACTCTAGATGCAAAAATGGTGCCTGTCCCAATCTTGCTGACTGTCAGGAGCTACTGTCACATGACACCCCACCCCTTAGCCTCATGAATAAATACTAAAAGGACTCATTATGAGGAGATAAGGAAAACAGGAAGTGCCCCTAAAAGCCACCCTCCTCCCCACCAGAGGCCACCAGCATCTTCAGCACCCAGACTACCAGCCTGTTGTGCCCTTGAGGAAGAGCTCTTGCGTTTTGGATCCAGAGGGGACCTTAGGCAATGCTGGCTTAGAGGCGGGGGTAGGAGTCCTGGGATTTGGGAGAGCGGGCCACAGAGGCAGTGGGACAGAGCAGCTCTATTCTGGGTTTAGTTTCAAGGCCAGCTGCAGGGAGAACAAGCAGTCGCTGTGTGCCTGCAGCTGGCAGTGGCAAGGCCAGGGCTGTCCCTCACTTAGGATATATTTAAAGAGTGCCCACTATACGGTCCTGCTAACAAGAAAAATGCACACTCTCTGGTAGCCATGTTCAGCACTCCTCCTTCGCTTCACCCTCCAGGCAATGGATTTGTGTGTCATCAGAGGATGGCTGGCTCCTCCACCTCTCCAGGTGTTGGGTGGTACCACCTGGGGACACAACCTGGGCTCCCAGGTCTCTGCCCTCTAACTTGAGCTGCCAAAAGTTCAGGGGATGAGCTGGATTGGCTCCTCCCACCCTGTGGTTGGTAACCCAGCAACCAACGGGAGAGACAGACAGATGAGTCAAATGCAAGCCCAGAATCTCTGGCTTTGTGTTCTGTTTGTGAACACTGCCTGTGAATGCAGACTCCCTTCCGGCAGGGAGTGGTGGGACTTTCCCACACTGCTTCAGGCCAACTGCTCCTCCATATAAGAATGCCCAGGCCCCACTTGCCAGCTAATGCAGACTTAGGGACAAAGCTGGTGGGCCAGGGGGAGCCCCTCCTGGCTGAACTCTCTGGCTTTGCCATTCACAAGTGAACACAACACCATGGGCCTGAATCCCACGGGTAGGTGGGGTTGGTGGCTGAGAACCATGGGCCAGGTAACCAATGGGCCTGAGGTCCTGCAGAACAGAGACCGAACTGGTGTGCATAGAAGTTTGGACTTTTAGGTGGCCAGAGACAGAGCAGGGAGAGGACTTCACCAGAGCAATGCAGCAGAAGTGGGGTGAGTGGGTGGGAGTGGGCAGCTTATCAACCCGGGAAGGGAAGCCGACAGGCAAACTTTCTGAGGCAGGCAGGCTGCTACAAGTGCCGGAAGAGTCAGTAAATCACGAGTGCACCAACAGGATCAGCTACATAATTTGAAGGGCCCAGTTCAAAATGAAAATGCAAGGCCCTTTGTTAAGATTATCAAGAATTTCAAGACGGTGACAGAAGAGCATTCGATGGAGGGCCCTTCTGAGCGACCACACAGGTTGCACACCTACAAAGCCAACAATGAGGACCTATAAGTCAGCTCCTTGAAGCAGCTATGAAAGCTGAGGCGAGTGAGCTGGGGGATGTCCGGTCACCTCTGGCCTTACTTCCTCTCACCCCTGCTGTCCTTTGGTCCCCAGTTCCCAGGCTTTTGCTGGGCTTAGGACATTGCCCCTACCCTAGCAGCAGCTCTTCTCTCTGTGCTTGCTGCAACTAAGTCTTCGCCTCTCTGAAAAGGGGGAATTGCAAGGCCACAGTGGGAAGAGGGCTGAGGGCAGATATTTCTATTGACTGTGGCCCTGGGTCCTTTGGGCCATTAGACCTCAGAACCCCAAGGATCCCTGGACAGGCCAAGAAAGGCTAGTGCAGCAATTAGAGCAGGGGTCCTCAAACTACGGCCCGTGAGCCACATGCAAATACAAATATTATATTTGTTCCCGTTTTGTTTTTTTACTTCAAAATAAGATATGTGCAGTGTGCATAGGAATTTGTTCATAGTAGTTTTTTTTTTAAACTATAGTCCGGCCCTCTATCGGTCTGAGGGACAGTGAACTGGCTCCCTGTTTAAAAAGTTTGAGGACCCCTGAATTAGAGCCTCCTCTGAGCAAGGCTGCAGAGGATGGAGGTATAACATATGGACTATACTCTGGGTCACCAATTAAGGACCCATGGGGACATGTGCTGAAGATGTGACAGTCCAGGAGCAGAACCAAGGTCCAGGAAGCTTTGTTCCCATTTGGGATCTTACCTCCAACTCTATGTGGTCATGGAGTTTCTTGCAGGTGGCTGCAAAGGTCTCCGAGGTGCCAAATTCAAAGTACCACAGCTTGTTCTTCATCCTGGACCATGAAGCAGAGACATGGCTCAATATTCTGTATCTGAAATGGTCATGTAAAACAGCTACACAATTGGGGCTGGGAGGCCCAAGTCCCCAGCATTCCCCAAGCTTCTGTTTTCAGCACTTGTTAATCAGATGATTAGGACTGGAATTTATTTTTATTATTATTATTTTTTTATTTTTTTCCTTTCTTTTTCTTTTTCTTTAATTTTTTTTATTGATTAAGTTATTACATATGTGTCTTTATCCCCACATTACCCCCCGTCTCCCCCACTCATGCCCTCACCCCACTGTTGTCTGTGTCCATTGGTTAGCCCTATATGCTAGCATATAAGTCCTTTGGTTGATCTCTCCCCCTTAGCCCCACCCTCCCCTACCTCCCCTCTGAGGTTGGTAAGAATTCCTTCTTTTTTATCGCCACATAGTATTCCATTGTGTAGATGTTGGAATTTATTTTTTATATTTATTTATTTATTTTTACCAAATGTTCTTGCTACAGACTTTGAGAAAAAACTTTTTCATTTCTTAGACATCATGACTACTCTGGGTGAATTGCCAAGTGATCTCTGACCTTCCTCATCAGAGCAGGAGAAAGGCCTGTGGGCCCCTGTTCCGTGAAAATCAACCAGTGGTGACAAATGACAACGGGCTCTGGTCACTGTCCTTTCTACTATTAATGCCCAGAGACTTCAGGCAGAGCCCTCTCTTGGGTATAGTTGGGGTGCAAAGGGAAGATATGACAGCCTTTTGAGGCTTGAGGGATGTACAGTCTCGGGACAATGGAGAGGTAGCCCCACAGTAAACCAGCCAAAATGTGTGCTACTTTGTCTATGCTTTGACTGCAGGAAGCAGAGTGGAGAGAATTAGACACAGATTTTCAGGCAAGGTGGAAAGAGAAGAAATAAAACAGTGAGTTGTTTTATAGAAATTGTTTTCCTCACTTACTCCTCAATTTCATTTGCTTAGGCCAGACCATCTTTCATTTAGGGGTAGACCTGGTCATATTTGCTTCCAAGTAAGAGCTCACTATTTTGAGTTTGATGTTTTTCAACATTTTCCTTAGTGGGAATAAACAATGGGGTTTCCATGTAGCTGAGAGCTTTGCAAAGTCATATAGTGTGTCCTGACACTTGGTTGTTTTGATCAGATGGTCTCACCAGGAAGTGTTTCTGAAGGTATTCCATTCCCTACATCCCAACTGTTGTCCCACTATCAGGAGCTGGCTAAGAGAAGGGATACCTGTCCAGTTTATATGCTGGGAGGTTTTGCTAAAGATTAAACAAAATCACATTCTTCTTGGCACAGTCTTTAGTAGAGAGGATGCTACCTTGAGTGTTGCTGATCCTTCATGCTCAGATTTGTGAACTAAGGGGGAAAAAGGAGCATTCTTCAGAGGCAAGAAGGCTCTTATTTCTTTCCAGTATTTCTTAGGCCAAAGCAGATGATTCTTCAGTGTACAGACACAAGTTTTCTCTCTGCCTTTCTCAGAGTCCATCTAGAACTTAGATGAGACTGTATGCTTCCATTGCTTGAAGATTTCTAAGACCTAGTTGATTGGGAACTAGTCTTTCTAACTCTTAGCTTGCAGGAAAAGAAATGATAAATCATGAGGGAAATAAGAATAAGCAAGATTTAGGGAGTTATGCCTCATGAAGAAAGTTAGAAGAACTGGGTGTGCTTTAAGTAGACCAGTGCTTCTCACCCAGTGAAATGCATCATAGGAATGCCCATGATATCAATCTCCTCAGCCTCAGGGTGGCCAGGCTGGGGTCTGGGGCAGCCAATGTCACAGCAGGCATTCTCATCTGTATGCCAAACAAATGCTTTTGTTTTCTGTGCATGTCATGATATGAAAAGTGTTAGGAAACACTGTTCTAGATCACCAGTTCTCTGCATGCACAACATGAGAGAGTAAATATGAGTCAACTGGGAATTTAATTAAAATGCAAGTTGTGATTCAGTAGTTTAGAATTAGGGCCTAAGAATTCCTTGTGTTTTAACAAGCTGCTGATGTTGGTCTAGGGACCACACTTGGACTTGTGAGCACCTGGAGACTACAATTGTGATTCTGAAACATTAGAATTCATAAGAATTACCTGAGAGATGTGAATAAAATGCTGTTTCCTGGGCTCCCATGTGCAGAGATTCTATGTGATAGTTGTGGGATGGGGCCCAGGAATATACATTTTTTGTGAGTGCCCAGGTAATAAAGATCATTACTCAGGTCATCAGTTGTCATGACTTTCAGAAACATTGCTGTAGATCCCAATGAAATGACAACTAAGGAAGAAGACATTCTGATTAAACCTGAAAGAGATGATTTCTCAGGGAGAATAGAATGAGGGTCAGTGTCTTTCAATAGAAAATTATGGCAAAAGATCCAATAACAGGAAAAACACAGATTGTCATAAATGTCAAGGTTGAGCATTCTTCTCCAGCAGTGAGAGCATCTCTGTAGCCAGGAGACCTGCTTTGTGATTCCATTTTCAAATATCACTGCAGGTCTGAATCATGACTTTTGAAAGTTATTGCCAGGAGATTTAGAGTTTTAATAAAAATTTCCGGAAACCACAAGCTATTTTTGTCTAAAAGTGGCTCTTTTGAAGATCTAATAAGGTTAAGAGGTCATGGTTAGGTCAGTGGATGACTGAAAGGATCAAACAGACTACTCATCCATTGCTGCTTAGATGCCCATTGCTGGCTGAGTGACCTTTGGCAAGTTTTTAAGCCTCAGTTTCCTCATCTGTGAAATGGAGATAGTGAAAAGATCTGCTTCAAAGTACAGTTGAGATTAGATGAGATGATTACAACATCACATAATGCTTACTGCATCGTAAGCTCAAGAAGAATGTTAGCTACTTTTAGCTATTATTTCAATGTCTTGCATTGGCATATTTAGATAACATAGTAAGGCAAAAATGACAGATGAGGTTGGGTAGCCACATACTAGTACATTATACATTCAAATCTTTCTGGGACAGAAAGAGATGTGATTGTATTTGTCAGATCATGTGTCTTGACTTTTAAGTGAAAACATATGTTCCCCACATGTCTATAGACCACACCCTAATCCTTTGTTAATTATCTTGACTGATCACGTGATTATCCAAAGATGTTGATTGAAACTATGCTTCTGAGAAAGTGCATGTTTGGTGTGAAAAAAGGCATTTATCAATTCAAGAAACACTCATTGTGCCAGGACTAGATGGGGGTCTATTGATACTACATTGAAGAACAAAACAAAACCCTCTATGCACCAGGCACCTGGGAAAGACAGGCAAAGAAACAGTCAATAGTGTTGTAAGCTGAGCACTAAGTACTGGGAGTAGCTAAGAGGAGGTGACATCCAGTTCTTAGTGGGGTCAGGGGTAGTTAGAGAAAGGATCCTAGGCAGGCAATGCCAGGGTTAAATTCTGAAGGATGTAGAAGGGAACAGAGAAGGTGAAGGAAGAGCATTCCAGGTAGAGGAAGAAGATAAGGCAATTGCACAGGGAAGGAGAGGCAGACAAAAGCAAGATTATAAAGGTTGGGGATGCCATGCTTCGGGGTTTGGGCTTTATCTTAAAGTCTTTAGTTTGGTATGGATCATCCTTAAGTGGATGTAGTGCTGAGAGTGGTGGCACTAGTGACCTTATCAGGTTTGTGCTTTTTAAAGATCACTCTGTACCAAGTGTGGAGAGTGGATTGGAAGGGGGTGGGTATAGACTGGAAGCCTGGAGAATAGTTTGGAGGTGCTATAGAAATCCAGGAGACAATTGGGAAGGGCCTGAATGAAGGTAGTGACAATAGAGTTCAGGAGAAGAGAATGGATTCACAAGCTAAAATTTAGGAGGTGGAATTCACAGCACTGGTTGGTTAAGGAGTGAGTGAGAAAGTACCAAGTAGCGCACCCAACTTTTTGTATAGCATGGTAGACAGCAGGTGCCATTCACTGAAAGAGGGGCACAGGAGATCAATTCTTCAGTGGCAGTCCTCTTTATAACAGAAAATAAGCACTTTTTGTTTTTGGCTCATCCATCCATCCATCCATCCATCCATCCATCCATCTATCCATCCATCTATAAAATATCTATTGAGCCCTACTATGAGCCAGGTACTGTGTAGGGCCTAAGATCTCTGTCCTCACAGAGCTTACATACTTTTAATAGCTTCACCAAGACACTATCATTTGACCTCTGACCCACAGCAGACTAGCTGTTTGAAATCTCAGAGGATGTCAATCTAACTGGATGTCACCTCCTTTTAGCTACTCCCAGTACTTAGTGCTTAGCTCACAACACTATTTATTCCTCCTGTTTTAATTCAGGCAAGTTTTAGTTAGAAGTGAATGCATTCTATTTCCATGGCTCTTTGGTTTTGCCCTCTGCTGAACATTTTACATACACAATCTCTCTCAATTCTCAGAAAAACCCTATGAGATAAGTACTACTGCTACAAATAAGGAAACCAAGACTTGAGGAGGTAAGTAACTTGCCTAAGGTAGCAAAGCAAGTAAGTGCAAAGGGGTCATCCAACCCAGACTGTCGGGCCCCAGCTGTGCTTTGCTGCCCTGCAACCTGATCTTAGCATGCTTTTGTATATTGTGTGGTGGTGTGTGCTTCTATTGCACTTACTAGACTGCTGTGGCTCTCCTTCACCAGGTTGTTAAATGGATGTACTTGGGGACTGGGGTGTTAGTGGTTGCATCACATCCTAGGAAATGCTGTCTGATGAAGAGTGTCAGGCTCTCCCAGCTCCAAGCACCCAGGGGCTCTATAGGAATTGGAATCACATTTGTCACAGAAACCCTCCTGATCTTGAATTTATATAGTCTGAGAGAGTCAGGGAGACCAGAATCGACCAATGGCAAAGCCATATGTTCCCAGTATACCCTGCACCTTTCCTTCTCTGAGAAATGGGCAGAGGCAGTGTGCCCTTGAACCAGCCCAAATACAGAGTGAAAAAGAGAAAGCTGGAGATAAACCGAAATTGCTCTTCAGGCACCTCCCACTGCAGTTTCAA